TAATATTATGGATGGGTTTCTTGTACAATGCTATAGTGAACGTATCACCTTTCATTATTTTTTGTTAGTTTTAATTAATTAAATATGTTATGATATAATTTGAATAAAAATAAACTTTTGTATTGTAACTTATATATATATTAGTTTTAATGATGAGATATGCTTTTGCTTTAATATTTAAAAGTAAATTTACGATTGAGAATGAAAGTCAGTCAATTTTTCAAAAAACTTTGATTATTATTGTATGTTTTCTTGAAGACTAAAGTGAAACTGCTCCGCAAGTATAAAATGAATAACTTTTCTAAATAAAAATTTTGAGTATTTGTTTTACAAATTCACTTTTTTTGCAATATTTTATTGAAAAAATAAGCAAAGTACTGTAAAAAATGTTAAAGTATGAAAATTTATAGAAAATTACAAAAATAGATTACAGGTATTGGCGTCGATGATATGTTTATAATGAGCGCAGCTTGGCACCGAACAAGTACTCAGCATCACGTGTCACGGCGGTTAGCAGAGATGCTTGCAGAAGCAGCAGTGGCCATATCAATCACATCATTTACGGATATGGTATTTTTGATTTTCATAATTTTATGAACTTCAAGCAAGCTTCATAATCCGTAGTAATTCTTAACTTTTTTGACTTGTAATATAAAATATTAAAAATTGATCACTATTTGGATACTATTTTCTAAATTGGTCAACAATTTTGATTTGATATAGCATGCCGGGAATACTGTAAAAAAGATATAGTGGTTAAAATTAAGTTAAATAGAGCAATTTTAAAGCAGTGCAATAACTGACATAAAATTTTAGGAACTCATACAAAACACACAAATAAAAACACAATAAGCCGTGTGCGATTATAAGTATTTACGAACATTGTAGAAGAACTGTATAATTCTTCAATATTGTAACGAAATCTATACTGTAACATAACACATGGGAAATAACATAATGAAATTCAAAATGAGATTATGCTTATTTTAGTCATGTTTTTAAAAGTGTGATAGTCCAACTACACGTAGACTGCATATTTAAATATAAAGTCTATGCTCGAATGTTTAAAAACTTTGATCATTCATTATACTATAATATATAAAGTAAAACATACAGTACAACATCAAAGATTACAAAAATTTATTCAATCGCAAATGAGGCCAAAATTTATCTC